GATTTAAGGAATATAGTCCCAACTTTAACTAGTGATAACCAATGACTAATAGAGAACATTGTAATTCATTGGATTGAAGAATTTTCCAGTTATTCATTGAACGTCCCTTCGAAATCTCAATTTCAGATTATTATTGATCTAGTGATGATCTAACTGATGATGCCAAATAAACAAAAATATTCAATGATTGAACTTCTAGTTCAATATTGTACGTTGTTTAATTGTACTAATATTGATATAGGGATCATGACACATTTTAGAAATATAGTAGATTCCTCTTTAATTTAGTAAAGAGCAAATTATTATCAATAATAAACATTGTCACTTCATATAACACAATATTGACTCTTCAATCATTCATTCGTATCTCCATCATGAGGTCATGATAAACTTCATAGGATAATTAGGATACAACAGATACCCATAGTAGATTAGTAAGCTATAGGGATCATGACACTTCATGGTCAATATGGACTGTTGTTAATTGGACTTGGCATAATAATGTTAAAAAGAAAAAGAAAACGGACTATAACCATGACAATGTTTTTTTTTTTTTTTTTAAATTAATATTATTTTTATGTGCCAAGACAGACATGACTAATAGTGGATCAACCTACCAGCATAAAGTACCATATATGTGACTGTCACACCAATAGCTTATAAATACAGCCAGAGAAAGTCTCTCTTTATTTGGTTTAGTGGGGATGGAAAAAAAACTCGTTCCCCATCTGTCTTGAATTGTCCCGCCCCGAATACAGAAAGAAATTCTTGTCCTGTTAGTTAAATGGGATGGGGACCACTGCCCTGAACCTATTTATTTCATTTTTATATTTTTCGATTAAAATTGTATTTGATAAAATAAATAATGAAATTCAAAAAATAATCAATAATCAATCGGTATGATAAACGAGGAGTTTTCAAACCATATCCTTGTCCTAATCACAAAAATCCTCGTCGGGGATGATATTTTAATTACTCCCCCAACCCCTAGCCCGTCATGTTGCCATCCCTATATATTAGTACACGTGAGCTGGACATCGATGATCAAAAATAAAGAAAGAAGATTTATTCTTTATGTCACTTTGATTCTTAAATGATAGAGTAATATAGAGAATATTTATATACCTCAATAATGAGATATGGTGCATATATCTCTATAAATAATTTCGCATTACAAGTAGCATTGAAATATGTCCTTCTTGTACTCTAATATATAATATTAGGGTGTGTTTGATTGTATTTATTTTTCATGGAAAATATCAGTTTTCTATCCAAAATTTCTTTTTTGAAGCGTTTGATTGTTATTTTTTTCCATAGAAAATATTTTTCAACTTTTAAAAATATACTTAATTTTCCTTATTTTTGAAGAAAACATTTCTTTGGAGGGAGTGGGCTTTTGTTTTTCTCGAAACAAAGAAAATATTTTATTTTTTAGGATATATTTTCCATATCAATCAAACACTATTTTCGTTGAATGTCGAACACTATTTTGGTGGTAAATTTGATTTGGTAACGTGGTTGTTATCAACTTTCAACGACTTTAAATATTTGGTCGTTGAATGTCAAAATTTTCTATACTTCCAACAATGAGATACAATTAGTTGTTGGTTTCCTATATTAACGACCATAAACTATGGTTATTGAATATCAACATATATTTTGACAAATTTTTTTGATTTGATGCTCACTCACAATGATCAACATTAATTTGATCTTAAAAAATGTAAGAACTTCGAATGTTTAAAGCATGTTTAATATATGGTATTGAAACTATACTTTACAATGAATAAACTTACATTTATTTTCCCCCAGTTGTCATTTGATCGACCATTTTCCCTTGAATGTGCATTATATAATTCCTAAGCAAGTCTTGGATTTTGCAAGGATCGTCATCAATATTTACAAACCTGTTTTATGAAATGTATCGGAACCAAAGAGAAATAAAATAATTTCGAAGATTTTAGTACAATCAAAAGAAGTTTTTTCTATATATTTATCATCAAATATTTTTAAATCCGGATATGCCCCAAATATTCATTCATAACTTTGAGTAGAGGTGTCAATCCGGGTGGTCCGGGCCGGGTCGGCCCGTCAACATGTGAGCCGGGTAACGGCCCGCGTGAAAAAAAGCCCGCCCGCTGCGGGTTTCGGGCCGGTTACGGGTCGGCCCACAATTTTGAACTACAACCCAGGCCCGCCCGCTGACCCATCCGGGTCGAGCCCATGCGGGTCACAGGTCGCGTGGGTCGCGGTTCGTTCCGATTTGGCTCGTATGATTGTATAAATAAAATTATAAAAATATAGAATTTTT